GAGAGAGAGAGAGAGAGAGAGAGAGAGAGAGAGAGAGAGAGAGAGAGAGAGAGAGAGAGAGAGAGAGAGGTTGCTATTTTGCAATTGTTGTGCGGAAAACCGATGAAGGCAAGGCAGAGAAGCGATTAGAGGAGAAGAAACCCGACGGGAGCACGAAACCGAACAAAGGTGGTATGAGTGGGTTTTATAAGGGAAAGATCAGGCACAGAGACAGAAAAAGTCAGGGCAAGTGAGGTGAGCAGAGAGAGGCCGATGCTGTCGGGGCTTGGGAAGTCGGATTGACGAGGAGTTGGAGAGAGGGACTGCGTGCGTACCTGGCCTTTGGCTGAATTGTACCCAAATGTGACTGTAGATCAACACATCAGTCATTGGGGTCGTGGGTTCGACACCTGATGGAGACAACAATACTTTTTTTTATTTTTTGAGACAGCAATACTATAAGCTAACCCCCTTTGAAAAACCAAGGGAGGGAACGCATGAGAGTGGGAGGAGGAGGCAATGAGAAAGAGCGAGTCGGAATGTTCGAGAGACTTGGTCAGTGACAGCTTGGCCGGGCTAGCACGGGTGCGGAAAATTGGTTTCCGTCGAACTTTTCGTTGCAGAAAATTTTGTCGTGCAAAGGATAGTGAGTGGGTGCAGAGGTGGAGGAAGACGGTATTCATGCAAAGTCAGTTTTTGAATTTTAATGTAGTGCCTTCCCCCACTCTTAGTTTATGATCTTCACTGACTGCTTTGTCTTTTTTCTTTTTTCTTTTTTTTATTGTTAAGAAAAAGCCAGAACCAAGAAGTGGCTAGAACAGACATTCAGAATTCTGTTTTTTTTTTTGTTTTTTTTTTTTGTTTGTTTGTTTGTTTGTTTGTTTGTTTGTTTGTTTGTTTTTTCGTTAAGAAAAAGCCAGAACTAAGAAGTGGCTAGAACAGAAATTCAGAATTGTGTGTTTTTTTTTTTTTTTTTTTTTTTTTTTTGTTCTGTAACAGGCTGATTGTGGTATGTTGGCTGTTCGTGCAGGCGGCTGTCATGGCCAGCCACTGCTGGTGGTAGTGTAGCTACCACGTGGGCCCAATTGTTATTCTTTTGCTATTCCTTTTCTTGCTCTCTCTCTCTCTCTCTCTCTCTTCTCTCTCTCTCTTCTCTCTTCTCTCTCTCTCTCTTCTCTCTCTCTCCTCTCTCTCTCTCTCTTCTCTCTCTCTCCTCTCTCTCTCTCCTCTCTCTCTCTCTCTCCTCTCTCTCTCTCCTCTCTCAGTCTCTCACTTGTGGTCTTGAGCAGATGAAATGAGGCTTGTTGGCAAGCTCTATCTTGGTGACCGGGTCAGAGGCCATTTTTTTCTCCAGGGTTGGATTTGAGAATTTTGAGGCATTTATTTTGACGATATATTGTTCAATTATATTCAAGATTGTTTTAACTTAGCACCGGCATCCGTCATTCTTGCACTCATTGTGGAAACATGTTCTTGATGCCCACTGTTGTGCAACTTGTGCAAGGGATATCCACATTTATTGTTTCTACATGTCTGTGTTGGCTCTTTGACTTCGAAAGAATGTGTCTTTGTCAATCCTTTGGATTTTGAAGAACACGTCAGTTCCTTCTTATCCTGCCTGAGAAAGCAGTGGTCCCCACAGCCAAGCTAAAGTCGTCTGTGTACTGTTCTCCAACACTTTTTTTTTTTTTTTTTTTTTTTGAACTGTCTTTATTATCTGCAACACACTCACTATTGTTACGCTGCAAGCACTCGGGGTCCCCTTCAAATCGTTCGTATAACTGTGAACCCCTAAAGTCTGTGAATCTTAAATCCTTAACCCTGAACCCCTTAACCCCCCTAACCCCCCCTAAATTCTAAACCCTAAACCCTAAACCCTAACTCGGCCTTAGAGAGAGAAAAAACAAAAAACTAAAAAAAAACACAAGGGAGGTGGCTTTGAGATATCGTCATTTAACTGACCAGCGCCAGGTAATTCAGAATGATTTTATTCTGGGTTGATCTGATTGTATCTGGATTCGAACTCGGGTCTGATTCATATTTCAATTTTCAACAGTTCGTGGGTGTACCAACTGAGCGAGGCCCGTGGGTGTATCTGAGAACGGCAGAGTTCTGGCGGAGGGGGGGGTGGGGGGGTTGGAACTAGGGTCTCTATTTCAACAGATTTCAACAGATTTCAACAGATTTCAACAGATTTCAACAGATTTCAACAGATTTCATCAGGTCATGGGGGTACATACTGAGCTAGGTCCCTTGGTATTTCACTCCTAACTCCCAGTACTCATGACATTTCAGCAGATCATGGGTCTGTATTTCAACAGATTGTCACTCTGCCGTTCGACCCTGACTCGCAATGCTCAAATCTTTAAACCCTAGACCCACAGCCTTGGACACCCTAAACCCTAGGTAGGCTTTTCAGTCCTAAACCCTAACCCTTTCTCTATTCCTGACCCCACCCTAAACCACGAACCCTTAACCTTAATAAACCCTAAACCCTAGCCCTTCAAGCATCAACTCTAAACCCTAAACCCTGGACCTTC